TTGAGTTTGGAAAGCATTCTTTCCATTGCATTTTGTAACTGGAGGCCGAGGAAGGTTAGCTGCTTGACTCTGGGTCTTTTAGATCTGTTGAGCTTGTGCTTCTGTCTGGTGCATGATTGGTGTTTGCCTTCGGTGAAGTAGTTTGACCTCAGGAAGTACTTTATGTTATTCACACTCACTAAACACCACTAAGGGTCAGGGACTGCTTTAATTCCATCCTATATTACTGAAAGGTGGGCATAACAATGCTAGCCTCTAACTTTAGAGATCAATTGTAGCTCAGAAAAACCAATAAATATATTTACAGTAAATTTCTTCAGTATGAAAACAAGAATGCTCCCTTTCTGCCTGTTTTATATTTTAGCAGTAGTAGAATTTGAACTCAAGACCTCACACTTAATAGGCAGGTACTCTTATCTATGCCTTTTTTTGTTTGTTTGTTTTGTTTGTTTGTCAGTCATGGGGCTTGAACTCTGGGCCTGGGCACTGTCTCTCAGCTTTTCAGCTCAAGGCAAGCACTCAACCAATTGAGCCCTAGCGTCACTTCCGGTTTTCTGAGTGGTTTATTGGAGATAAGAGTCTTACAGAGTTTCCTGCCCAGGCTGGCTTTGAACTGTGATCTTCAGATCTCAGCCTCCTGAGTAGCTAGGATTACAGGTATGAGCCACTGATGCCCAGCCTTACCTATGCCTTTTACATAGCTGGAATTACAAGCATGTGCCACAGTGCCAGCTTGTTTGTCAAGATGAGATTTTGTTGGCTTCTTCCCTGGCTTGATCTGAATGTACAACTCCTCCGATCTCTGTCTCCCAAGTAGTTGGGATTATAGAGGTGAGCCACTGCACCAGACCTTACTCTGCCCTTACTTAGATCTACATGTCTCCCTACCACACTATTCTAACTCTCTCAGCCTCCTCTGCTGTCTTAAAAGCACAAATCACTAATTTTCATGGCTCTTGTGATCCAGATGTGTGCTTTCAGGGTATCTTTTTTTTTTTTTCCATGCATAAGTTTCCATGCATAACTTTCAGGTTGGTGGGCCTGCACTTTTGGATCCTAATGCAATATTAACTCACTTGAATCTCTTTAGCACCATCTTGTGTCTGAAGCGCGTGTTGCAGGAAGATTGTTTCAGCATCAGGCCTCAGATAAAAAGGATCTAGTAAGTCGGTAGCTTTTGGATTATCACCATAGTATGCTAAATCAGTGCAATCAGGAAGTTGAATTGAAATCAACATGAAGTTTACAAAGTGATACATTAATAAAATTCTGATGGGAGACAGTCTTTAAATATTCATACGCCTTTCCCTTTCTAGAGCAGCCTCCAGGCTTTCCAGACTTTAATTTATTTGCTCAGTAGCTGAGGCCCTGAGCAGAGCAGTTAGGGCAGAGATCATCTAGCCAGATTGCAGCCTTACCAAAGAAAAGCCCTCTCCCAAGGCTGCACCTCCCAGAGGAAGGCTTGAAAAGTCCAGTTGTCCGTCCTCAGTCTTCTCAGGCTGATTTAGTGGTGCCCCAGGATTGGCTTCTCCAAGAGGGGGACTCAGAACAAGGAAAAGAATATGGAACACAACCCCTTCTCAGCCATTTCCCCCTGTGTGTTGGAAGGGGAGGAGAAAAGGGAAAATTGGAGCAGAATGTATTACATTTTAGATTCCTTCTGTGAATTAGAGTCTGGATTTCCACAGGAGGAGAGAGGTGGACTTGTCAAAGATTCTACACCAAACAGAAGCACCTCTTTCCTTTAGTATCCAGCCTGGTTTTTGTTCTTCATATACATTATTTTCTGGTATAGAAGTAATGGTGCTTATACTGGAAATATAGAAAAATAGGAAAAAGTAGGAACACATATATCCAGACAGTCATAATGCTTTGTATTTTATGGGTTTTCTTTCCTTTTTTGTTTTTTTTAAATGATACTGGATTGACTTGGGACCTCGTGCATGCTGGGTAAAGCGCTCTACATCCCTGCCCTGAGTCTCTGTCTGTCTTTATGTAGGAAGACTTGAATGTTTTTTAATATATATACATATATATATATATATATTTTTTTTTTTGGTGGGTCGTGGGGCCTGAAATCTGGGCATGGATACTATCCCTCAGCTCTTCAGCTCAAGGCTAACACTCTACCACTTGAACTACAGCACCACTTCCAGTTTTTTTTTCTGCTTATGTGGTGCTGAGGAATCAAACCCAGGGCCTCATGCATGCAAGGCAAGCGCTCTACCACTGAGCCACCTTCCCAGCCCTTAATATATATTTTTTATTGTAAAGATACTGTACAGAATTACATGATCAAGGTAATGAGTCCATTTCCTATGGAGTATTGTTACACTCTCCTTTATTTTCCCCCTACCATCCCTTTCCTCTCCACCTCCCCAGCTAAGACTTGAATGTTTGTTGGATTGACACTTCTTTTATATGTACTTTTTAATTATTTTGTCAGAAACACTTTGTAGGTTAGGACATGTCCTTCATAAATTCCTGAACATGCTGAGTTCTAGGACCAGGATAGGTAGTCATTTGTGTATTGTCATTTTGATATTACAAATGGCACCTTCAGTGAATATCTCTGCTATCTTCTTGTGTTTTCACCCTTTCTTTTTGGAAACTTAAGAGTCCACTCATTTTCCAATCACAATGCTTGGAAAAACCCTTAAAGAGGATCCAGTCTCCTAATACAGATATCCTGAGCTTACCTACTCTGTCTGGAGGAAAGGGAGGGATGGATGCTTGAGGCAAATTCTTCCACTTCTCAGTGTCAGGTTTGTTGTTGTTTTTTGGCAGTGCTAGGATTTGAACTCAGGGCTTGATGCTCTTAAGCTACACCTCTTAAGCTACACCTCTAGCTCTTTTTTGCTTTAGTTTCTTTTCAAATAGGGTCTCACATTTGGATCCAGGCTGGCTTACCCAGCATCCCTACTATTTGCATTTCCTGTACCACAGGCATGATAGGCCCATGCCAGCATTCCCAGCTTTTTATTGGTTGAGACAGGGTCTCATGAACTTTTGTGCCTGGGTTGGCCTCACATTGCATTTTTCCTGAGTAGTTGGGATTACAAGCATGAGCCACAGTGCCAGCCAGAGCCATGTTTCATCCATCAAACCATAGGAACAATACCACTACACAGGAATATTAATAGCACAGGTAAAATCCCTCCTCAGGGTGTGGCATTCAGTGAACACTAAATAAGTAAGAAATAGTTTTAAAACAATGCAAAAAATAACTTTATTACAGCAGGGTTTTTAGCAATTTTCCCTGTCATCAGTGAAGTTTGAAGTTGTTTGCTTAGTTTCTCTAGCATTTGATAACCTAGTCATTTCTTCTAAACACCTTTGCTCTCTTAACAAAGATGCTACTTTATTATAAATGAACACATTTTTGTTATTATATACTAGCTTATATCTTCTTAGAAAATACTCTTGCCTTCTTTCTATTGACATTAAGTATTTTATCAGTTTGCATAAGCTATGTATACAAGAAATTACTAATTTATCATGTTATATGCATGCTGTTATATGCATACGTTTCTAATATTATATTTTTTTACATCAAGCTGTTTTGTTTGTATGTTACATGCATTTTCTCATTAAGTAGAAACATGTGATAATTGTGATCTCACAAATTTTGTGAGCTTTTTGTGTCGTTATTACTCACAAAAAATGACAGCATTTGTTTTCACCCATTCTGCCTCTTACTATTATTCATGTCCTACTAAATTTGCTTGAAATTTATAGCATTATTTAAAAACTATCTCCACTATGTCACCATGAACTGGAATATGAACCTGTGATTTCCAAATATATACTATCTGTTTTTTTCCAGGTTATGTTGAATTTTTTTTGGGGGGGAGGGGATCATGGGTCTTGAACTCAGGGCCTGGGTGCTATCCCTGAGCTTTTGTGCTTAAAGCCAGAGCTCTACCACCTTCAGCCACAACTCTACTTCCAGTTTTCTGATAGTTAAGTGGAGATGAGTCTCACAGACATCTGTGACAACACATACATAAAAGAATAAAAGCCTATTGGTATACTAAAATGATTATTTTTATGAGACTCTGAACTATGTTAATTTTATTCTTCTGGATATTCCAATCTTCTAAAATGAGATTTCCTACTGTTACCAGCTAAACAAAAGTTCCCTAAAAACCTATGAATGCTATACAAGTTAATTTTATTGGTGACATGATTTAGGGGGTTGGGCATGGTATAAGTAAGAATACTTAGGTGTATGCAGCATTTCTCTGGGCATTATCTACAATACCAATTATTTTGAGCAAAAATTCTGCCTAATGGAGTTGAAAAATGGAATTCATATTTGTTCTTAAATAACTCAATTTATAGTCTCTTTGTGGAGAAAAATGACATTAAACAAAGAATTCAAGACTGGCCATAAGATACATGCTTTCTTACATTTTTAATCAGGTCATTTTAAACAAGATTTAATCCGATCATTTTCCTCATTTCTGATATTTTAATCAGAAAAAATATTCCACAAGGATGAGAAATAGTACTTAAGTGTGTGTTTATTCTTTTTTAACCTAATGGCATAAAATTGCATTAGCTCAGGATGGTTTGATGTAATCTGGAACCTACTGACCCCAGGCTGGGTCTCTGAACAGGATGTTTTTAACAGCTTCACACATGTTCCAGTCCGCGGTGGGAAGCTACAGCCCAGACACCATGCCGTGGCTATCTTTGCTTTGTCTGGGACCACACATATACAGATGTGTAAAATGTGCATGCATCTGTACACCAAGGCCCAGAGAAACAAGGGTTTGCTACCTCAATTGTATCTTCCAGATACCAGGAATGCTTTGTGTATCTTTCTTTTTGCATTGAAATTTAGTTCATTTCAGAACTCAGTTTGTATCTCATTGAAGTTCAATGTATTAAACACTTAAAAGTCTGAAAATCTCCATTGCCCTTGTGATCATGAAAGCGAATTCTTTTTTGTTATAAATTCTTAATGCTCCTTTGCTTGTTTTTCTTTTCTCTAGCTTTGGGCCAGATTATGTTGTACGTGGATGGGATGAATGGAGTGATCAACCACAGCGAAACCATTCAATGGCTCTACACTCTTATTGGGTCAAAGGTAAAAGAAAATTATGGTTGGCCTTCTTGTTCAGTGTGCATATCATGTGATTATCCCCTCTGAGATGTTTATTTGCAGAAACCTTATTCAGCTATGTTGAAATCCCATCTCAGTACAAATGAGTACAAATGTATAGGTTAGGTTGCAACTAGCCTATGAAATTTTAATGTATTTTTATTTTTCCTTTTCTTAAGCTGTAATCAAATGCCTTGATCATCTTCTGCTTTTAATGCTTAGTTAAAACATTAGGCCATAAATGTAGCATTGACGTACCTCCTGCATTTCATGTTTGTATTATTAAGTTGTTTATACGTACTTCAGTGCTTTACATACGTATGTGTAGATTCTTATCTATAGATGAAAGGATTTGAAATTGCCTTTCAACTTTTACCTTAAGGGTCAATGTAACCAATATTTATCTACTGATGCACCAGGCACCACACAGGGTGATTTGCAAGCATGATTTCATTTCATCCCTATGAGATCACTATCAAGTGAATAGCATCATTCTCCCTTATTGTGAGAATCCAGGCAAATTCCCTATGGATCTTAGCTTATATCCACCCAGTGATGGCCTCAGCTGGGAGCTCTCACACCCTGCAAAGCAGATCCATGCGATTGCTCCAGACCTGCAAGATGCCGGGCAGAGCTCTAGCATAGTCCTCTCTGATTTGCTGGGAGCAAGGGAGGGAGTGTCAGTTTGCAGAGGAGTAGGGAGGGGGGGGTCTTACCTTGGCTATATGCAAATGTTGCCAAAATGGAGTACGGTGAGTGAAGACTGATAGTGTGACTGGAGTAGAGTTGGGCAGGGAAGGACTTGAGGATCTAGATGTGAAACTTTGAATCTGACTTAAATTCCTGGATGAACATAGCTTTCTGGAGTCTCTACAGTACCTGTTGTTACACTCAGATTATTCCTGATCATGGTCACCCACTTATACTGAATTGAGTAAGGGTTTAATGGTTGGTGTGCACTAGCACTGAATCACATCTTCTAGCCCTGCTCCTCACATTACCTCCCTCCAAGGAATGCTGCTGTCCAATTGATGCTGTGCTCAACATGGCTTTCCTTTCAGACTTCCCAGGCTCCTATGATTCTCTTCTTACCTAGCAGGAGGGCTTATTTTCTGGATGTATCTGTGCCAGGGAGATGCCCACTGGGTCTCAAAGCCTTGGTTGACCCTTATGTTTCTCCTTAGTTTTCCTTTTGAGACATTTCCCCCTCCCCCATTTCATTCTAGAAAGAGCTCCGGAGACTGAAAACGTGTTGTTTTCTTCTTGGCTTAGTTTTCTATGGCAAATGGAAGTGACTATTTTGAAACTGATGTAAGGGATTTTAGAAGAGGAAAAATGCTGGGCCTGTTCGCTTGGCCTAGCCAGGTGGAGAGAACCTTTATATTTGACAACCTGTTTGTCTGCTGGGAACCCTTCCTAATTTTCCTTGCCTTACATTCTTTTCTAATTTTTGTTGTGCATCTGGTGCTGTCCAACTCTGTCTAGATGATCTCTAGAACCCTCAGACCTACAGCAATGGGAAGAGATTTGACTATTAAAATCAATATTTGGTCCCTGTCACAGCTGGAATAAGAAATTATTATAGTTCACTGGAGATTGTAGCCCAAGTAGTAGAGTGTCAGCCATCCACAAGAAAGCCAAGAGAGAGCATGAGATCCCGAGTTCAAGTCCCAGAACTGCCTGCCCCTTCCCAAAGCACAATATTGGACAGTTTTACTCTCCCAGGGTTGCATTAGGAATATCAAAAGGGAATTGTTATAGTTTCATTACAGCTCTGAGACTGGGTACTGGGATGGGATTAAGAAAGTAAATCAGTGTAGCAGGGGAAGATAGAGGAGTGGCCTGGTTTGAGTGTCTCCCTCCAATCTGTGTGCTGGAAATGTGATCCAAATGCAACAGCATTGGGAGGCACAAGCTTTTGGGGGGGGTTAAAATCATGAAGGTTCCGTCCTTGCAAATGGATTAACAACACCATTATAAGAAGGGCTACAGTAGTGGTCTGGCTTCATTCTGCCTTCTGCCATGTGAGGACACTGCTTCCATTCTGGAGAAGGTGACAACACACTACCATTTTGGAACCAGAAAGGCATGACTGTAAGGCCAGTACCGTGGTCTTGAACTTCCCAGCTTCCCAAGAAATAAACTGTTGTTGTTGTTGTTTAAAGAATGAATTACCTAGTCTTAAGTATTTCATTGCCGCATCACAAATGGGATAAGACAGAGAAGAAAAGTGCAACAAAAAATAAAAAGGAGAGATGGAAAGAAGTGAGAGGAGACCATGAAGAGAAAGGGAAAAAAAAAACAAACCAGGAATAAAAAATGAATCCCTCGGCCCCCAGCCTGTAATGTTGCAACAGCTCTATGTGGATTTTCCTTTGGACTCATTCTGTAAGGAAAATAAACAACTGGAAAGAGGCACAAAGGAAAAGTCCTCCTCACATTTGTAACAAAAAATGTGGAGAAATGAAAGTGACAGCTTCAGAAATAAGTGGAAGGATGATGGGTTTCCTGGAAGGCAGGCTCCATGTGCTTGCTCCTCTCTCGTTCCTGGGCACCCACCTCAGAGCTGTCTGGGAGCTTGCACTTGGTCCTTCCCCATCCATCAGGTCATCAACACTAGGCTAGAGGTTTTCTGTCTCTAATTTTCATTTTATCCAAAGCAAGTACATAATAACTGCTGGCATTTGGCACTATATGGAGACAGGCAAAGACAGACCTGTCAGCCTGTGCTCTTAGAAGGAACACTGGTAGCCTGTGTTAGACTCAGTGTGGTATCAGATGAAGGTTTTGCACCAGGGTGTGTCTGATCCCAAATTTCTGGCAGAAAGTCAGAAACAGCAGCAGCTATCAAGTTGTTTTTTTTTTTTTGTTTGTGATTTTGTTTTTCAGCACAGGTCTAATGAAATCCTCCCATCTTTATAAAAGACAATACAGTATCTTCTGACACCCCCATCTGGAAAGTGAAGGGTCCAGAATAAGAATGGATGCTTTGACCAATACCACTTTACCATCTCTTCAAGGCTAGGATTCTACAACTGTGTATTGTGTAATAAACACTTCAAATCGAAGCCAATGTCACTCACCTGAGTGCATCACAAGCAACAGCATAATGGCAACAAGGCCAAAGGTCCTGGTCAGCTTCCACTCCTCTCCAATCTACACCATCTCCTGGAGCCCCAAGCCCTGCTCTCTCCTAGGGAACATTTCCTTATTCTCAAACCTAGCAGGTCCAAACCTGAGGCCAACAAACCCCAACATCCAATTTCTCTACCCCTACCAGATGCATTGCTAGGTGCCCCATATCAACAGTGACCCTGCCTTTGATTCCTGCTGTCTTCTATCTACCTTAAAAAACCCAGTTCTAGAAGGCTAGTCCTCAATGGGCCCATTGCCTCACAGTTGTGCTACTGCCCAGCCTCCATCCCTGTCACTTCCACTCTCCTCCCCCTGCCCTTCTAAAAACTATTGTCCTAATGACAAACTTTCAGAGATGCGGGCAGAGATGGGGAAGGGAGGGTAGGGCAGCATGCTTGCTCTCAGACAAGTGCAAGGGAAAACTGGAGATCAGTGCACAGCAACGTGGGGCACAGCTGGGTGAATGGAGTCAGTGGAGCTGACAGAAATAGAGCAGGGCAAGCAAAGGCAGACAGCAGTGGGGAAAAGATGGTTGCCATGGCATCAGGAGCATCTCAGGAGAACTCATAAGAAGATGAGAGTCTCTCCCATGGAGACTCTCAATAGGAGACAGAGAGGGTGACTGAAGGCCTAACTATACCAAACAAATCATCTTACCTCAACTAATTAAAATTCCAGATACAGGAGAAGAACATAAAACACCCTGTGATAAGTCATGAGATGAGCATCTTACTTTATACCAGAGAGTTTAAAGATGGCTCTTGTAAAAAGAAAAAAAAATGCTTTATTGAAAATACTTTGTTTCTTTCTCTTAAACAGTCACTATTTGGCTGCAAAACCATCCATTTTCTCCTCTGGCGAGAAGTCCAGAATATCTGTAAATATGTATTGCACAATGATCCTCTGGCACGTGGCAAAATCACATCTTGCTGCCTTTCATGGACAAGAAAATGAAGAATTATGAAAACAGAATGACAAGGCTTTTAGTAGTGCAGTCCTTCCTTTATCAACCCTGACAGGATGTCAAGGCAACCCTCCCAGGTTAAGAGGAGTCTGACTGGCCATAGAAAAGGCTAAGCCCTTCACTTTGCTGATTGCATCATTCACCCTGAGCTGGGAAAAACTGTGGCTACAATGCTCAACTTTAGGGAGCTGAGGCTTCAGTCTCCAAACCTAGGAGTCTTGGTCAAAGCATCCATTCTTATTCTGGACCCTTCACTTTCCAGATGGGGGTGTCAGAAGATACTGTATTGTCTTTTATAAAGATGGGAGGATTTCATTAGACCTGTGCTGAAAAACAAAATCACAAACAAAAAAAAAACAACTTGATAGCTGCTGCTGTTTCTGACTTTCTGCCAGAAATTTGGGATCAGACACACCCTGGTGCAAATCTTCTTGACATTGTGAGTCACATCCCAATACTTCTAGGTGCAGAAGGGGAGAGTTGGCTCTACAGGTAGCCTGCCCTCTGTTGACAACTAATGGTGGGAAGCCTTTGTTATTGGGGGAGCATCTTTCTGTCTGCTATTAACCAAATGGAAGTGCAATGCTTGCTGGGACAATATATTCTGGTTTCCCTGATCAGACTCTCTGAGTGTTTATAGGCAGTTTTCCTGTAATCTTTCCAGGCCACCAGTGTGGTTACTATGGATGTCCTTGGGATGTAATTTCCAATTCTTCCTCATAGTGGTTACTGACTCTTCTGTGCATGCAGGAAAAAAAAGAGTAATGTGAAAGTCTCTCAGGATCCATTATTCTTCTACAAATACCTTCCCTGGTTAGGCCTTCCAGCAGCAGCCCTAGTTGCTGGATTAAATTGAACTTGCAACCCACTAAACCTCCAAGGTTTTATTCACACATCTGTGTCTACCATTCTCTTCGTTTTTCCATGTCTGTGATTGATTGTTATCTAAATACAAGGATTTTCCCCACTCATCAAACCAGAGTTTTAGCCTCAAGATAATTAGGAGTTTTGTTTTGGCCATATATCATATTAAATACTATTTGTATGTGCTGATACTGGGGCTTGAATTCAGGGCCCTCTCCCTCTTGCTTAGCTGTTATTATACTCAAGGCTGTCACTCTATGTTGAGCCATACCTCAACATCTGGCTTTTTGATGGTTAGAGATAAGTGTCTTCCAGATTTGTTTTCCTAGGCTGGCTTCAAACCAAGATCCTTAGATCTCAGCCCCTTGAGCAATTATGGTTATAGACCACATTGACTGTTAGTGTTAGTTTTAGTTTACATACATTTAGTAAGTAATGATTTTATGTCCTAGATAAAAATGTTGAGGGGACAGAGACAAAGCATGAGTAAAGCAGTGCAGTCGACAGTGGACAGTCAGTGCATTTTAGGGCCACTGTGCCATTAGTGAGGAGCTTCCTAACTGACTAGCTGTGGTTCTTCACTGAGATTGCAATCAAGATGTGTTGAACATAGTAGGAAGTTCTGGAGCTGCAGCACTGAGCACAGCTGTGTGATCCTTTTGGTGAATTGTCTTTTTAACATATAAAATGAGATAATCTATAGGATAGAAAGCACAGTGGGGAAGGTATGAAACAGAGTGTCTGGCATGTAAGTGTGCATCTTTGTTAGTTAATACCACCTTCTTTTTCCAGGAGCCTGCCAACCTCCTATCAAGGAGGTTCTTGGCTTGCCATGAGCAGACTGTAAGTTCCTGTGCTTTTTTTCTCTTCTAAGGACCTGAAGCATTTCCAGGCCAGTTGGTCCAGTGTCAGTGGTGGTTTTAGTAAGCTGCAGGATATAGTTTTTGGACTTTGTTTATTCTTCTCCCTGTTTTTAGCACGTACTGATCTGCCTGCTTTGCTGTATGGCCTCTATGACTGCGCCATGGGAGACTTTCTCAGGTCCCAGCTTCCCTGGGAGTGGCTCAGTATTGACCTCTGTGACTGCAGACCTCGGGATTTCATGCTTTCTGGCTATGCTACGCTGGGCCTTGAACAACTTGTTAAAACTGTGACCTGAGTTTTCCTATGGCTTGGTATGGTCACTCTATCTTCTATTACTGCCTCATTGCTGGCGGGACAATTGTCACTCTTTAGATGCTTGTTTCATAGATACAATGGTATAGTATTTGCAGATTTGGTAGACTCTGCAGATGCAGAACCTACAGACACCGGGTACTGAGTAGATGCACATTTGTTTATCTGCTGCCCCTGGCTAAGAACACAATTGACACAGTAGCAAAGATATAGGAGGAGCTGCCCACTGTTGTAGGTGAACTGCCAGGCCTGGATGGACTAACTGAGGTTTCTTCTTCCAACCTGTTGTTATCATGTGGTGTGGAGCAGGTTATCTCAGACCCCAACTTCCAGACATCTCAGTACCTGGCTAAGCCACAGACATGCCAAAGACTAGCAGTGCCATGGGTTCCTCCCTGTAACATTTTACCACACAGGGAGCAGAATCACTCATTGAGAGGGTTTCAAAACTGTTCCTCTGTCTCTTGCCTAGGTAGAGACTAAATTCCACAGTATTTTCTTACCTTCAAAGTTGGGAGTTCAAGGGGGAAGCTGTAGCATAAGGAACTGTGCTTTGTATATTTAAAACTGGAGAGCTTTCTTCAAGTAAATAAAAACCCTAGCAAGTCTAGGCTTGGCAACTTTCTCAGTTGGGTAGACTATGATTATGTGGTTTAAGCCTTCTAAATGCCTTCCTGGGAAGAAAACCTGGCTGCTGTCCAGCCCTATCTCCCTCATTAGCTGGCCTTGGAAGCATTCCCCTTATGCCCGTCTTATGACATTCCTTCTGAGCATTGTGTAGTTATTTGGCTTTGACTGACATGGTCGCAGGCTCCCAGAATTCCCAATTCTCTGCTGTGTCACTCTAATGAAGAAACCATGTTTCCTAGTGACACCTTCCTTTTCGATTGCTCTCAACAAGCCTATTCACGTCTTCCTCCTCTGTTTGTAACAGCTCCGTTTGGAGGTCCCTAGACATTCTTAAAAGAATGCCCAGTTGTCATGATTCATAATTTTGGGTTTCTCTGGCCTTGGCTTCTACTAAATCTATGTTTGCGTTTAGGTACTTTTGGACGCTTTGTAAATGAACAACAAGAAGAATAGGTAGTTAAACTACTTTTGATAGAAGAGTATCACAAATGCTAAAATGCCTGCTACTAATTGTGAGCATGGCTAACTAATCATTAAAATACACCCACAAGCTCCTCTTTAGAGAGGGTTTATTAACATTACTACATAGACTTGACAGTAATAAAAGTACATTACTTCCAAGGATCGAGCAACGAACTCTTCGGTTATCCAGAAATCACTTTATTTGACGTCCTCATCTATCTGGAATTCAGTCAAAAACCCTTCAAAGCTTGGAACAGTTGCCACAGAGGCCACACTTCTGTCTCTTCAAGTCCAAACATATTGGAGACAGTATGGGTGGGGACAAGGGTGGGTAATGTAGGATTGGGTACAATCAAAGTACATTATATACATGTATGAAAATGCCATGATGAACCCCGGTATACCCCGGTATACAACAAAAATAATTTTTTAAAAGCTAACATTTTTGCCCTAGGGAAATTATAGTACCAGTTAGCATGCAAATGAGATGCTAAGAGGTTATATGACCACAAGGCCCAAGGGTCTGAACAGGACTGAAGAGCCACATTTAGTCCCTAGACTTGAAGGACTTAAAAAAAAAAAAACAAGGATAGAGCTCATACCTGTAATCCTAGCTACTCAGGAAGCTGGGGTCTGAGGACTGCAGTTTGAAGCCAGCCCAGGCAGGAAAGCCTGTGAGGCTTTAGCTTCCAATTAGCTACCAAAAAGCCAGAAGTGGAGCTGTGCTTCAAGTGGTAGAGTGCTAGCCTTGAGCAAAAAAAAGCTCAGGGATAGCGCCCAGGCCCTGAGTTTTGGTGTCAGGACTGGCATGGAAAATCAAAACAAAATAAAACAAAAACAAAGCAGGGACTGGATGAATTTTCCTAGAGATAGTATAGGAAAGGAGGAAGAATGAGAGCACCAGAAGTAGCTCTATATTCCACATGCAGATTGAACACAACACTAGGTACCAACCAATGGGTAGCTACTGAGATAGGAGACCAACTACCCTAACTGTGAGGACTGGGAACACACACTGTATGCAAGAGTTCTTCAGGTGTATACTCAGGAGTGGTAGAGCAGGATTAAATGTTATAAAATATAACTCTTGGTTTTCATTCACTACCACTCATTCTACCCACCCCTCCATAGTCCCCACTCAGTAGAAGGCTCAGCCGTGTACCGAGTGGTTCCCAAAGTTAGCTCATCCCACCTCAAGTCCATCTCAGGGCGTCAGAATTTCAAGATGTGTCTTGAACTCACCTGCTGTACAATGGGAGAACATATGTGTCTGCATGCTGATGGGTCTAACGAGAGAGTGAAGGTCTAATAAAGGAATCTGTTGTGAGGAGGCCCCTGAGTCAGGGTGCCAGCAGTACTGGCGGGAACCATGTGTTCAGTGGACAAGACCACCATGTCTACAACTGCATGATGATTTTGTCTTTTCTCCAGTTCCGCCTGGTGGTTAAGACTGCCCTGAAGCTCCTGCTTGTCTTCGTGGAATACTCTGAGTCCAATGCGCCCCTCCTCATTCAAGCTGTGTCTGCTGTTGACACCAAGAGAGGTAAGCAGTCCTTTGTGCTGTGTCCTCACGGAAAAACAATGTGTGGTACTGGAGACCTCTCTTACATATTTAAAACAGAGTTTCCTGTGTGTGGACATCTCCTGGCATGAAACATCTTTTAAGATAGTAAATTAGAGCTGCACTGTTGTGTGACAGTGGAGGCGAAACATATCTGGACTTTATTCAGGACAGTGAAGACACTTGTTGAAACCACCAAGAGCCAGCTCATTCTGTCTCCTGTCTGTGCTGTCATTTTGACCCCTTCCTCCCCTCAACAACACTTTATCCAGTCTACCCCATAGATAAGCTTGAGCCTTCTTAGTCAGAGTCCTCACTACCTCCCACCTGGTGTTCCTTTCCACCTCAAAGAGCAACACAAACTAGGTCACATCATTTGCCATCTAAAACTTGCCAATGGCATTTGAGTGCGAAGTTCATTCCAGTCCTTCACCTGACGTAGGGGGACCACAAGCCGTACCCATTTCCTACCTGGCTTGCCCCTTCCCTCCCTTTTTTCCTTGCTCATACATTTACATGGTCCCCGTGTGTCCTCCCTCTCTACTCTGCTGTCATCACTGCCTGCCTGTTGGTGAAGGTGTGCCCTGTTTGCAAGCACTGTCTCCCTCTCCCAGCTTGGTGTCCAAGCACCTACCTGCCCCCAGCAGACAAGTGTGTCACACAAGTGGAGAAGACTGAGTACTGGATCTGGATAACCCTGTAATACCCGTGGCCCTTATGGTAGTATGAAGTCTGAAGCTAAAATTGGGGATGTTTTCCTTTTGTCTTTTATGTCCCTCCCTAATAGGACACAGTTATTATTATCAGCATCCTATAAAGACTCAAGTAGGAGCCAAAATAAGACTTAGAGAGTTTGCTTTTTCTTTTCATGATTATAACAGTAACACCTCTGTAGAAAGCTAGAAAAAAATCAATATAAAGAAGACTACTGGAAATCACTTCTGATCACAACAAAGACAATAAATAGATGTTAGCATGCTGGCAACATTTCCTTATAGTTGCGTGTGTATGTGTGTGCATGCATGTACAAGCCAGCCTGTAGATAACTGTCTGGAAGAAATGGGGGCCTCTGCAGCATTCTTGATTCAAACCACTGTGTCTGACTCAGCATTGCTTAGAGGATGTCCCTCCAATTTCTAAAAAAGCTATCCTGGATTATGAATTGGGTTTCCATACTTTGCCAGGTGCCAGCCCTAGGGAGTGGGTCAGGGCCAGCCTCTCTGTGGGGTATGCGAAGGAGACAACGCCTAATTGCACAGTCAGGGGCTATGAGTCACAAGGTGAATCCCAGACCAGGACAATTTTTCTCTTTATCACAGCCTATTGCCATCTGGTGTGCTAGATAAGAAGAGCTGTATGGGCCAAAGCAGATCAGAGGGGCAGCTGAAAGTCCTTAGTAAGAATTGCCAGTGGTTCAGAAACCATGTTGGTTTTCCCAAGGCCAAGTAATTAGGTGTCAGGGCTTGGAAAAGAGTAAGCAGCAAGTTTCTCTCATCTCTATCTCCCAACTCTGGAGGTTATTTTAGGATAATGGATGGGCTTTGTATCATCCTCTCCTAAGGATGGATATCCTGAGGGTCTTTACTATGGGGCTATTTTAGAGGGCAGCCTTCTCATGACCCTGGGGTTCTCCCTTGACTTTGTTGAGCACATCCAGGATTCCTTTATAGCCCCTGTACTCTTTCTACCAAGACAAAGTGATGGCCATCTTTTCTCAATTAGTATAAGTTAAAAAAAATGAATAGATTGTTTTCTCAGCTTCATGGATTTTGCCTATAAAATTTCTTAAACATTTGGCAAGTGCTATTATCGGTCTGCTACTGAGCACTAACAGCTTAAAAAAAACAGGAATTGCACTAATGGAAAAACTCAGAAATAGCTTATCATGTGTGGCTCAATAGTATGTTTCTTTTTGGACATGTGTGGTCTTGGCTGTGATTTTATAATACATACACATAACATCATCTGATTTTACTGCTAGTAAAGTCTTTCCAGAATCCTATGATGGAATTAAACATATAAATATGTCATGGTGTTCTGAAGAGAGCAACATGACTTCCAGGTGTGTTTCCACCTCGAGTGTTTAGAAGCTGCTCTCCAGCTTCCTTACAGCTGGGCCAGAGAGCAGCCCCAGGTGCCAGTGATGACCCAGGGTGACTGGAGAATATCCACGTGTGCAGCACACATTTACAAAAAAAAGCCATAAATTTTACTCACAAAGTGACTTTACCCTCACTTCTTGGCGAGGGTGAGTCACACATTCAAGTGCAGACAGTTCTCTCTCTTTCTCTCTCTCTCTTTAATACAGAAGAAAACTGTCAGATTTAAGGACTCTGCAAATAAAACCACCAATATAAACTACAAGTCCTCAAATCATTATCACCTTAAGCCAATGAGGTCATCCCAGAACAAATTCCTCTGGTTGCTTTGTAAACACTATGCATGGCCGCCCATGAATTATCCAGAAGGGCTCATTTTGCTATGGGGGCCATGGACTTGGTGACTCAGAATGGAACACTTAGCAAGCAAGGGATAAAAATCTGAAGGGGGCCACACACTTACCACAGGTAGTAAGCAATAAATTTTATATAAAACTTAGAATACTTCACTTGATCTAGCCAATTATGCTTCTATCCAGGGGCTGGAATAAAAGGGTGGATTTGAGTTAGTCTCTGGGCTTGGCATGGTCTACTGAAGACTGCCGGATCTTCTCTCTTGCTCATATGTTCTGGTCATTTTCCTCTTTTGGACAGGCCCTACAGGAAAAGAGTGCAACATAAGCTCATCTTTTGGGTGAGCCTTGCATTATCATTTTACTATGTTAGAGACTCCTTTCCCTTGAGGTCTGCCCTGTCGTGGTGGACAGGAAGTTGGTTTGGAGCCCACCTCTCCCTTAGGAGACTTTCCTTCGGACTGTGTGATTTTGCTTCTCCCATAGAGGCAGAACAAAAGACCAGACATGATAACTCATTTTTAAATTTCAGTCATAGATCTTGGACTCACAGCCTTTGAAGAAGTTTTATTTTTTTATTTGACTGTACTGTGATGAGATGTGACATAATTCTTAACCATGTGTATCATACATGATTAACAGGGAAGTCTAGCCATCCTTTCAAGTGACCATGTTTTTGGGTTCTGCTGTAGAATAAATTGGTTGGTGAAAAATACACAAAGTATTGTGGAAGCTGTAGGTGGACAGAGCCTTAGATGTATCTCCATTGTTGTTTATAACAGAAGTATCTATGGGGTGTGTGTGGATCTGTTATGTGGAAGGGCATGGAATATACTGGAAAGAACTTTCCAGCACATGTCTGACTGTTAGACCAACTCATGTATAAGACAGTCTGTTAACAGTTTGGGATTCCTTTCGACTTAATGGTGTGACAGAGTAGGAAAATAAGAACACAGAGGTCACCAGCCCCTTATTCTGTGCTAAGAATGGAGACACTGTGGTTTAGTGGTAAGGAAGGACTGACCTGGGTACCTGTGTGCAAGGCCCACCTCTGGGCAAGTGGGTGTCACCATTACACTACCATCATCATGATGTTAGATATGCCACTATTGAAAGACACAATGCTCAGTACTGTTTGTATATAGTACATTTATTTCAGCAAGTATTCAAGCATCAATTATGTTCATAAATGTCAATGCCTGTACCTAGTATATGGGGAGAGGATGCATGGGCAAGTGAGTTGCGGAGAGACAGATGATAATGGTTAAACACTGTCTTCTAATTCATTCCTTTGGTGCTAAGAAGAACAGAGTCTGCTTTCATTCTACTATGGGGTTCAGTTCTTTTCTCTGATATGTGAAGGGGTATGGTCACCATGGTAGATGATTATATTACAAGAATACCCTCTCCCCAACACATTCACAGCTGCACATACAGCACCCCCCACACACAGAGCAGAACTAGTGATAGGGGTGAGTAGAGTGAGCTAGGTCACTTGGTTGTGATGGGAGGCAACTTCTAGCAAAGTTACAAGTGCTTGTACTTAATACGGGTGTAGCCTGGGCCCTGCCAAAGCTGTTTTTGTTAATTCCAATATTTCCTTCTTTCATCTTCATGTTTTAAAGTATTTTCCATTGTCTGGTTCTGGAACAGTCAAAGGAAAGCGAACATTCATTTCAGCAGTGTGTAAATATATACACATCTCCAGGCTTAAAATCCTTAACTTTTAAGGATTTGATAATAAGGGAATCAGATATACAAATGAGTAACACATTTTTCAATTAAGCTAAGCCAGTGTTTGAGTGTTTTATTCTTTGTGGATTAAATGGTGCACACATGTGCATGCATTTGTGTGTGAGAGGGGAATGCAGCTAGGCTGCCTGGCCTCTGCTGCTTGGTTTTTCCTTTCCCAGGCCCTGGTGGGTTTTAAGGCTTCAGAGTAAGCAACTAGGCAGCCATTCTGGTCCTGATGGCATCATTAGAAATTCTTGTTTTACTGTTTTTTCCTATGAGCTACATACTGAAAACTCCCTAATGTATGTGTTTGATAGTGCAGTCTGGTGCTGTGTGTGTGTTAGAAGCCACCCCTGTTGCAAATATAAGCAGAGGTTCCTTGAGCTCTTGGATTGTACATGGAGAGTGAGCTGTGAAGTCGTGAGAGTTGAAGTGGTTACTTTACTGGGATTCAAAGGACAATTACACTGTAGTGTGAGCTTCCAAGATAAATACCAGCAAGGAGATAATTCCTCCATTAGCAGGAGATGGAGCATGCCTTTGTGTTCAGAGTTGGAAAGGGTTGCAGGAGATCATCTGGTTCTGAATGCCTGGGCAATTCAGCCAGAGGTTAAGATTTTCTGTTGATTTGTTGGAAGAATAACTTGGGTCTCTATGGGAAGCCATATTGGAATCTTTTGCATTATATAGAAAGTACCTGTTCTTAATTTTCCTGTTTTTTATTCTTAATGTGGCATCAACCTTTTGATTCTCTTAAAACAACTCCAAACTACTCACTTCATGCCCTCTCAGAGATATCTATTACTGCTCCTCAGACGTTTTATTGAGCACATATTGCTAACCAGCCACTGTGCTGATGGTACAGAGATGAACAATTCTGTCTCTGCCCTTGAGGAACTTTTATCTCAAGGCCAGGATCTCTCTAAAATAACTTATCCAAGGACCAATATTTGGAAACTACTATGTTGAGGTTATTGCCAAATTTACTTTTACCAAGTAAAGATAAGCAATATCACTTTGAGATATTTATAGAAAAAGCAGGAAAGAGCTTCACTTTCCAAACCAAGGGCAAAGCAAGGTTTGCTTCACTTCAAATATTTATCTCAGGCCTGGCAACTGTGTCAGGGGCTATTTCCCACCTTTGCAGCCTTGCCCTGGGCTTGGAGGTCAAGAAGGAGAAGCAGTGCCCAGCCCTTTCTCAAGCTGAGGAAGAGCTTTCTCCAAGCATTCAAGTGGCCCACTCAGGAGCCACATCTTGTCTGTAGCCCTCCAGAGCCATCCCAACTGCAAGATAACTGTTTTGCTGTGTGACAGACTCAGCCGTTGTTGGCTCTGTTGGCTCCATTAGATTAAAAACCTATCAAAGACAAGTGCTTCCCAAATGTCATACTTGGCTGGGTCTACCTGTGTTCATGCCTCAATGGAATAGACGTAATAGTGGTTGGCTAGACAGGTGTTTCCTCACCGTTGCTTGGAGTCACTGCTACAGTGACCAGTGAACTTCTGTATTTCTTTCCCTATGTGTTAATGGATGTTCAGAGAGTACTTCTGAAGACCTTTTCTACTTTCAGTGAAGTGTATGACCCAAAAGGTTGTACATGAATGAATTTAAAAAATTATATCTTTAAAGGCGATTTTTTTCCAAGCAAGCAGATAGGCATCCTGATGTTGAATAACATTCAGTACTCTTGGCAAAGGGACATGGATGGTGTGATATAGTGCTGGAACATTCTTAATTAGGATTATGTTCAAGTCCACCTTAAAGATATTATTGTACTCAGAGATTTAATGACTGAAAGGTACTGCTATCACTGGGAGATAAATTCTTGGATAAATGATAAATGTAGTTTGGATAAGGAGTGTTGTTGGACAACTGTGTCTTAATTAATTTTGCTTTACTCATAGGCATCAAACCCTGGTCCAATATCATGGAAATCCTGGAGGAAAAAGATGGAGTGGACACAGAGCTGCTGGTTTATGCAATGACTTTAGTGAACAAGGTTGGTCCATGTGCATTAAGGAGTAGAATTGAAGTCCTAACCTTCCTGGTACCTATGAATGTGACCTTATTTAGAAATAGCATCTTAGTAGATGTAATCCTGTCATGGCATGGTCATTGGACTGTACTCTAATCTGACATCACTGATGTCCTTCTAAGAAGAGACACAAGTGAAAAGACAGTATAAACATATGTATACAAGGAAGACAGTCATGAGGAAACAGAGGCAGAAATTAGAATAATGCATATACAAGCCAAAGAATGCCAAAAATGGACAGGATTCAATCTAGGAAGAAGTATGGAAGGATCTTCCCATAGACTCTTAGAGAGAACATGGCCCTTCTCTGTAGTTTTAAGACGCGTAGCTTATGGTGCCTTGCAATAGAAGTCCAGGGAAAGTAATAGAATGTCAGAGAACTATACTTAGTGTGTCCTATTACAGTGACTGGAATCCCAGCTGCAATGTGTTTCTCCCAGGAAAAAAAATCCTTTTGAACACACATGACATGTGTGCACAGGTGCACATGCCTGTCCTGAAGCCATAGGTGTCTACAGCCTTTTAAGTCTTGGTTATGTTAGTTAGACCAGAAAAATGACAGCAAGAATTTTATGACTATAAAGATATATGCTTGAAGATAATTTTCCTTAAGAATGAAATAGTTTTACTCCAGTGAAATAGTTCACAAGTCAGGAAGAAACATGCCTCTCCTATTCCACTGAGTGTTGAATTCTGATCCTTGGGCAGAGTTAGTGACTCTTGGATGAATCCCACTCCTGGAATATGATGGTAACCTCACTTTTGTGCTCTTATTCCTCCCTTCATGTGCCTCCCTGGTACTTGAAGGGCAGAGCCAGTCTTCTCTACCTGTCCCCAGAGATGCTACTGTGAAGCAGTGCAATGAGTACCTGGCACAGGCCCTCTTAGTGCTGGGTCCTTCATTCAGATTGCCATATCTCAAATGCTAGCCATAATATTAACCATCTTGCGGGCCTTTCCAGGCTGTTGGGTGTGAGCCTTCAAAGCCAACTGCAGTGATGATTAAGGCTTCAGAAAGATCCAAAATTCCTTCCTGGAATATAACTGGAAAGATAATTTTCCTAATGAGCCGAAGACACATTTATAGAAATCAGTGTAAATGAGACACAACTTATCCAATCAAATAGTAATATAGTGTACCTGTTACCAGGTGTTTAAAACAGGGCAATCTGCTCTCTCCTCAGTAGGAAGATGACTAGCATGGAGGAGCCCAAAATCAGACCTAGTGTTCAGAATGACTTTCCACACAATCAACATCAGCACGGACAGGGCATTTTCATCCATGTTTAGGGATGGAAATAAGCTAAAACATCATTTGACACATGGTATGATGTTTCCCAAAAAGATGAAAGAGCTTAATGTAATAAATTAAACCATGTAAAACCATGTAGAAAGAGATAAATGCATACATACTTGGTTCTTCATTGATAAGTAGGCCAACTTAAATTGAGTGACAGAAGACTGACTCCGACACAAGGAATTTATTTGGGAATAGCTAGGGATCACAATTTGGGGTTGACATTTAGTGGCAAGCCATAGGCATATTTGAATGGATTGGGGCAAAGAGAAACCTTTGCAAGAAAAATGGGAGAAATCCATGTAGACTATTTTAAAACAAAGAGCTGTAGTTATGTCAGGAGAGAGAATGTCAGGAGTTGGTGATAACTCATTGGTAGAGGCCAACGTTGCTAGGCAAGTGTCCTGTTGCAAACAACTTTCCTAGAATGCTGTAGTTTTCAGAATCCCTTGAATACTTTTTCATATAGGCATACATGAGTGAGAGGCCCTTTCTTTTGGCCTCCCAACTCTGTTTTGCTTGGGTTTGACATAAATAACTCCATTTTGGTACTGACAACATTCCTAAAACTTGTTTGAATAATAAAACTAATATGAAAGGTTCCACAAGAGAGGATGAAAATATGTCATTGCATTAAATTATGGATGGTTTTGTTTGTAGAATAAAAATTAAAATTATAACTAAAGGTAAATGACAAGCTAGAGAATTACTTGTTGAAACATAGAACAAAGATACTCTTCTGAATGATTTAAGAAAGAACTCAGTAGGAAAATGAAAGACCTTAAACTTCCAAATACATAGCAAAATTGTAATACTTCTTCCCCCAGGTGATACTGGTAATGAGTACTTTTTAATGAAATATTTGCTTGATGAGCTCACAGAAAACCCTCATATATCCCTGAAAGGAAATGAACACAAATTTTCTGATGGTTAATCTTAAGAATTCTGCTTTTAATTTCAAATCTCTCTGTGAGCTTATTTTTCCATGTGATTTGAAGCAATTTTTTTTAAAGATTAAGTTAATCTATTTTCTGTCCTTTCCAGTCACTGGCCTTGTTTTATGAAATACTGAATTCAGTAAAAATGGAAATTTCACTCTTGCCCAATAATACTGGTTCAGCTTTATCCATTATTTTATTAGTAGAGGCCAGGCCTGGCTGTCCTTGGGCTATGAGCAGCTCATGGGCACTCTGTTTGCCAGTTTCTGGCAAAGCCCCAGTATGTGTCATCATCTGCTGGCCATCATGATGCATTTAATGTCCAGGAATTCCTCACTTGCTCCTTCTCTTTTGGCAGCTCAGCCTCATTCTTTGTTATTTTGCCTATAAGTCCAGGAAAATCCTGGTAGAGGTTCGTTCCTTAAATGTACTTTTACTTAAAAAGTCAACAGACTGCTGTCACTCATACAGAGTTTTTGGTTTCGGTTGAATTGGCATAATGTTTATTGCTTGTTGAGTAAAATGTTATAAGCTAACAAACCGAATATCAAACCGAAATGTTAATCTGGATCTGGGGTAGAGGTAGACTTTGAAATGTGGGAAATTATATTCCAAGTTCAGTGGTTTCTACTGAATATTGATTTCAACAAAATGAACAATACGGAAGTAATTTAAAATCACAAAGTGTATTTATATGTGCATATATATATACACATATATGTACATATGTATGTATGTTCCAGTCCTGGGGCTTAAACTGAGGGTCTGGGCGCTGTCCTTAAATTGTTTTTGTTTTTTGTTTTTTGCTCAAGGCTAGCACTCTACCACTTGAGCCATAGTTCCATTTTTAGCTTTTTGATGGTTAATCAGAAATAAGAGTCTTATGGATTTTTCTGCCTGGGCTGGCTTTTAAATAAGATCCTCAGATCTCAGCCTTCAGAATAGCTAGGAATGATAGGCATGAACCACCAACACCAGGCTAAAAAATGGCATTTTCATAACAAAACAAGACCAATAACTCCTAGCCTGCTTTGGGTTGTAAGACTGAAGTTAATTATTATCTTGGATAAACAGACATGAAATGACTTACTACCTTCATTCCCAACCCAGCCACATCCCTACCCCCTACCCATGTTTAGAAGATCTGAGAGATCTCCAAAAATTATCTCACCCTGAGAGGTTAAATAGGATAGATAATGCCCTGCCCACCCCACCCTTAAGCCTCGTAAGAAAATTTCACCTGTGGGGGCTCAGGTATGAGCCATCTTGTAGACTTTGATGCAGGGTGTGAGTAACAAGTTGGTTACTATGGGCATTCCCAGAAGGCACCTGGACCCCAGGAGGCCTGGAAAGCTGCCACCTTTGTCAGATGCCAGCAACTTAGCTGTGAGGGCAACAGTGCAGAACTGGGTTGGAGATACCCAAGGACAGGTGGGAGTGGGGTGGAAATAACTGAGCAGTCAAAAATAGGTGCATGACGGCTCTGGCATTTGTCCTCCTCCTGCACAGGCAGAAAAAGAAGCTGTGTTTATCTCCTCTACAGCTAGGCACAAAAGCTGGAGCTCTGCAGTCTTGGCTTCATCTCAAGGTTTCAGTGTAAATGACAAATGACCAGGGTAGCCTCTGTTCTGACCCTATTATTGAACAAAAGCTCCCTGAGTCTATTGAGTTTTATACATAGCGTTGTTTAGTTATTTATTAGCAACCCTTGCCTCTGTACTCTTTATGGTTGGATTCACTAAGGTAATGGAGATTAGGTCTAGGATGTTAATGTTCTGGAAACTTCTGAGTAAAACAACCTCAGCTGACTCGAGGGCTGGAGAAGGTAAAGAAGGAAGGAAGAGAGTGGATTGAGCAAGAGAAAACTACACTGGTTGGTTGGTTCCTGCTAGCTCCAAATGCTTTGAAGAAAGCTTAATACTAAATGTTGACTTGCCAGCCACTGTTAAGTCGTACACATTGACATCAGGGCATCTCTAATGGTCTCTGTGCCCAGAACTTGAATTGCCATTTCCCTCTCCTCCCACCCTTTACAAAATTCTAGAGGTTGTTTTTGTTTTTGTTTTTTTTACTTAAAACCAATAAATGAAGGAGATTGTGGTAATGATGGAATTCCTTAAACCAGTGCTAGATTTTTAAATTGGTGCAGGGAGTAGAGAGCTGCCCATCTGACAGTAGTTGCCTGGAAATGCCGTGTTGACTGCCACTATGCTGTGACAGATGCTGGTATGCTCTTTCACACTTGGCTACACATATGAGCACCCACTTACCACTGTTTCCTCTTGGTGTTTTTACTGGTGCTCCTGAATAACTAAGCAACCGCAATACCATCTTATCTATCTATGTATCTATCTATCTATCTGTCTGTCTGTCTGTCTGTCTGTCTGTCTGTCTGTCTGTCTGTCTGTCTGTCTATTTTTATTGTGAGAATACTGTACAGAGTAGTTACAATTACATGGGCAAGATAACGAGTACATTTCTTATCAAGCATTGTTGCTTCCTCATTGTTTCCCCTTCCCATCCCTTCCCATACTCCTCAAGATCATCCTTTCAATAGTTTCTGATCTTAGTCATACTTGTATCCTCTTTGCTCAGCATAAAAGGTTAAAAGCCATTATTTGGGTTATTCTTAGAGATATGCTAGTATTGATAGACTTCAAATGGATTATCTTTATGGAATGATGGTCTTAATATCTGCGGAGCCAATTTAGCATGCTTAAAATAATTTTGAAATTTATATGGCTTTCTTAGAAATTAAAAAGTAGTGAAAGAATTAGGGAATAAAGGGCATTACCTGAGATTCCAGGCTAAAATAATCTATGCAGAATGCAGGAATTGGTGTGGAAAGGAGATGAGACTGGCAACTCCAAGCCAGAGCTTTAATCTCAATCTGAATAACAAATGACTCAGTTGCCTGTGGCAAATCTCTTTTTGGTTCCCTGCCTTCATTTCCCTCACTTGTGAAACGAAGAGCTTGCAATAAATTCCAGGACATCTTCCAGTTCTGATCAGAAATCTAGTCTGAGATGTTCTCCTTGTTTGAAGAGAGGTTGAATTAAAAGAGAAGTCCACTTTTTGTATTTATCTTTTTATCTCTTGGTTGCTGCCTTAATATTGCTCATTTCCCAAAGTTTCATAGATCAAGGGGAAGCAAGCTATAGTGAATTTAAATTATTATGACTCCAGCTATTATTAAATCCTCCAAAAACAAATCCTCAAAGAAACAACTACCCCATTAATAAGTGGGCTAATGGCTTAAAGAGAGACTTCTCTGAAAAGGAAATAAGAATGGCCAATGGACACATGAAGAAATCTCAACTTCTCTGGCCATAAAAGAAATGTAAATCAAAACTACATTGAAGGGCTGGGAAGGTAGCTCAGTGGTAGAGTGCTTGCCTTGCAAGCATGAGGCCCTGGGTTCAATTCCTCAGCACCACATACACAGAAAAAGCCAAAGTGTCAATGTGTCTCAAGGAGTAGAACACTAGCCTTGGGCTGAAGAGCTGAGGGACAGCGCCCAGGCCCAGAGTTCAGCCCCATGACCAACCAAAACCAAAACCTACATTGAGATTTTACCTCACCCATTAGAATGCTCATTATCAAGAAATCTAATAACAGATACTGGAGGAGATGTGGCCAAAAGGGAATGCTACAACACTGTTGGTGGGAGTGTAAACTTATTCAACCACTCTGGAAAGTAGTGTGGAGGTTCCTTCAAAGACTCCACATAGAGTTCCCCTATGACCCAGCAATCCCACTTCTGGGCATTTACCCAAATGACCACAAACAAGACCATCTTAAGGCTGTTGGTAGCTGTCTAATCATGATGTACCTGAATTTTTTATTTCCATGTGACAGACAATCAAAAGCTTAGCTTCCTGGAATAAAGCACATTTAACATCTCAGTGTTTCCTGGGGCAAAAGTCCAGGCATAACCCATCTGGGTGGTCTTCTTGGGTCCCACAAGGCTTCAGTCACAGTGGTAATCAGGACTGGACTTCCCTTGCAAGCTTAGGTCCTCTTTAGGCTTCATGGTTGTTGGCAGAATTAATTTCCTTATAGTTGTAGAACTAATGGCATTTTGCTCCTTCTTTGAAGCCAGAATGATAATCTTCAGTTTCTGAACATCAGGAAGACCCAAGCCCTTTTTAAAAATGATTTTCTCTGTTTTCACTCAGGAAATCCTCCCCTTTGTTTATCTTAAGACAAGTGACTGGGGCCTTAATGATGCATACAAAATTCCTTCACTTTGAAGCATACTTGACCTAATTGTGAGTGTGTGATCCCACCCATGGGACCCCACTCATGCTCTTGGGGTTCATTCTATCTCTCAAACCAAGAAGGTTTTATTCTCAAGTGAAATTTCCATTGCTCTTGCATCGTTCCACAGTGCTATAATTTGAGACCACTGACTGTCCCATTCAGAGACATGTAGCAGGCTCTAAGATGTTCCTGTATCTGATTCTTCTCTTCTAGACATTGTCAGGATTACCAGATCAAGATGCCTTCTACGATGTGGTGGACTGTCTGGAGGAACTGGGCATTGCTGCTGTCTCCCAGAGACACTTAAACAAGAGGGGGACCGACCTGGACTTGGTGGAGCAATTCAATATTTATGAGGTAACAGAACATGACCTTCCAGGTCACTATGCTCTTCAGCAAATGTCAGAAGCTGATATCCTTCGTGCATGCTTGAGACCAGGGGTTCCAAGTGTGATGCAGAGCTGCCACATCAGAGGAAATTTGCTAGAGATGTAAATTCTCGGTCCCGTTCCCCACTTCCAGACCTCCTGAATCGGCAACTTTGGAGAGTGGAGCTTAGCAGTCTGTGTTTGACAAACCTTCCAGGAGCTTGGAGCAATTTTAGTCTCAAGAACATATCTTATGTCAGCAGTACTTTTACTCCAGAGAAATGTTGGGAAAGGGGAAAGAGAAAGGATAAGTGGAGAAAGGAAAATAGATCTGCTGCATAATTTGTAGGGGTCAGTGTAGTATAGTGGCTCAGAGCTACTCTAGGAATTTTGTTCGTGGTGGTTGTGGGACTTGAATTCAGGGCCTGGGTGCTGTTCCTGAGCCTCTTTTTGCTCAAGGCTAGGGCTCTACCACTTGAGCCACAGTGCCACTTCTAGGATTTTTATGGGGTTTTTTGAATGGTTAATTGGAGATAAGAGTCTCATGAGAACTTTTCTGCCCAGGCTGACTTCGAAATGTGATCCTCAGATGTCAGACTCCTGAGTAGCTATGATTACAGGTGTGAGGCACCAGTTTCCAGCTGGATTTTTAAAATATATTAAATTACTTTCTTCTTTGATCTTTCTTGGCTTGTTAAGGTGGTTTTCCTTGTATTCTCGTTTGTTGTGGGTTTTTTTCCTACATTATGTCAAAAGGAAAGAAAACCTAAAATTTTAAATTACTAACATGAAGTTTACTTCCCATTTTTATATTGTTCACTGTCAGTTGAAAGTACAAATGTAAGAGCATTTTAACTTGTGTATAAAAAATCAGCAAAATCTCACATTTATAATTCTTACCAAAATGGGCACAAAATTAACTTAGGGTTTGTGTGTGTGTGTGTGTGTGTGTGTGTGTGTGTGTGTGTGTGTGTGTGTGTGTACATACACATGGGTGCTAATCCTAGAGCTTGAACTCAGAGCCTGGGCACTGTCTCTGAGCTTCTTTTGCTCAAGGCTAGCCACAGTGCCATGTCTGGCTTTTTCTGAATAGTTTATTGGAGATGAGAGTTTCATAGACTTTCCTTTGGGGCTGGCTTTGAACCACAATCCTCAGATCTCAGCCTCCTGAAGCTAGGATCACAGGCGTGAGTCACCAGTGTCTGGCCAAAATTGACTTAGTTTTTTTGATATGTGTACCTTCTGCCAACAACAATGCCTTCATCTTATTGATGAGTAAGGAAGGGCTGAAAGGACAAGGAACTTTGGGCTATTATGTCTTTCCCTGTTTTCCTACGCCTTCATTTCAGTGTATGTGGTTTGCTAATACAAGAAAATAACATGAGAAGAATGGACATGACGGCTTCGTGGGTTGTCATCTCTTTGCATGTGACTTTAGATGTGCTTCAAGGGGTTGTTTGGTTCTCAGAGCTGTTGACACCCCTCAGTTGAGTGTTTCGCTAATTTTGTTAGGCATTAGACGTCTACTTGAATCTATGTACTTGAGCAACAGAAATGGAAGACATGTCTTCTACCTGCTGTATCCACTCCTGCATGTGTTCCATGGAATCCACTCATACAACAGAAGTTGACAGATAAAATTAATAAGATTTCAAGACAGCAAAGGAAGTCCCTTCTAAATGTGGGCCTTGGGCCACTGCACAGGTCACATACCTATGACACTTAATTTGTTTTGGGTCAGGCCTGTGGACTAAAACCATTCTGTCTCTAGTTGGGTGCTAGTGCCTCACACCTAAAATCCTAGCTACCTAGGAGGCAGGGATCTGAGGGTTGAAATTTGAATCCAGCCTGAACAGAAAAATTCAGATGACTCCATTTCCACTTATTTAGCAAAAATGCCAGATTGGAGTTTTGGCTCAAGTGCCAGCCATGAATAAAAAAGCCCAGTGATACTGCATAGTCCTGAGTTCAAGCACCAATTTTAGCACAAAAAATATTGTCTGTGTGCATGCACTTACTATAATCATGTAGCCAGTCCTCTGTTTTTTAAAAAAGATTTACATCATTTCCCAGACTTTTGCAATTATAAATGCTGTTATAGTGAAGATTTTCATTTATGTACTTTTTATGCACTACTTGAGCTTTATGGCAGCAGATTTCTTAACATGGTTGAAGTGTGTGACTTGGCAGAAAGTGAGACTATATCTCAAAAATAACTAGCATGAAAAACAAACTGGAATCACGGCCCAGGAGTAGAGTGCTTGCCTGGCAAGTATGGCAAAAACAGTTGTAATTCCATTTGATATTTATGTTTAGATTTTGGGTAACAGACTTCCTAAGATTAGTCTGTAGCACCTCTTCTTTCCCTTGTTGTATGTATCTTGTTTAAGCATTACTGTACCAACATCATGAAAGAATTCCTGATGACGCTAGCATATGGTTCCTGGTGAGTGCAGTATATATCTGGGTATCACCAGAGTTCCTTTCTGATTGTTCTTTCTTAGTGTCCTCCACTGACTCTGTTCCTCTGTCCTTCTTTCTTTCTTCCTTCTCTGTATTGGTGTGTCCTTGGGAGACCTCCTCTCTGTATTACCTGCCTATGGTCCATTCTAATGCTTTCTTTCTAAGGCTCATCATGATGGCTTGCCTCTCTGCCTGCCTTCTTATCTTGTATTTTTTTCCATTCATTTGGTGTTCACTAAATATTACGTATTTAGTGAACATGTGCTGAAGCACATGTAAAAGATCTTTCCTGTTTCCTGCAAACTTCTATTTTTTTCAGTTAAAATAGCCAATTCTGACTGGCTGCCCATGGTTCATGCCTGTAGTCCTAACTACTCAGGAGGCTGAGATCTGAGGATCATGATTCAAAGCCAACCTGGAAAGAAAAGTCCCCGTGAGACTTTTATCTTCAATAAACCACTCAAAAACTGGAAGTAGTGCTGTGGCTCAAGTGGTAGAGTGCTAGTCTTGAGCACAAACAGTCCCAGGGACAGCACCCAGGTGCTGAGTTCAAGCCCGACAACCAACAAAAATAAATTATCAATTCTTCTGGAAGTTAAATGGCAGTACCGAAAGATGTAGAAGGTTCTAGGGTAGCACTGTGTCTGATACACATCCACCTGAAAGCCACACATGAAATGCAATAGTCCTTACTTTCCTTCCATGGTTAAAACAAAAATGCTGGCACAATCTTTTCATTTTTCCACATTTATCAACAGCAGAGTCTGTAAAATTACAAACTCAAAGCTGTCTGAAACTCCTTTCTCATTCCTGTGTCCCCACATTGAGAAGTTTGATAGTCAAAACTATATTTTTTTCTCCATTCCCATCTTCATTCCCTTAGCTTTGTCCTTCATCATTTCTGGCCTTGACTATGACACTATCTTCAGATTCACTCAGTTGTCCATCAATTTGTTCATTTGATATAACTTTGTTGAGGATCTACTAAATAACAGGCACTACTCTGGGGGTACAGAAGAGAATGAAGCACACAAGACCAGTACCACAAGGACATGCACATTCTGATAAACGTGATTGAATATACAAAAAGCAAAGAATCCACAACTCATCATGTCTGCCAAGGAAAGACACAGAACAGGTGGAAAAACTGAGGCAAGGAAGCCCATCTTCTGATGCCTTAAAGATAGACAAGGAGGGGGGAGAGCACTACAGGAGGATCAGCTGGGCAGATGTGGGGTGGCTACAGAGGTAGGGCCTGGCCAAGCAGCCTGTCTAGAGCCTGGTGATGCTGGCATCCAGCAGGGGCATTGTCCCAGAAGACCATCTCTGGGAAGGCAAACCTCCTAAAATTTCAGTTTGGTTATGCCATTTATATTTAAGGAAAACAAACTGAATGAACAGATGAACAAACCTTTCCATGACCAGCAGGATGAAACCCAGATTCTCTTTTGTTCAAACAAGGTTCTATACCATCCATGATCTCTGTGCCTCTGTGGCGTGTCTCCATTACTCCCAAAGGCCTCTGAAATTTCAGCTTCACTCAGCTTCTCCTGTTTCTTAGACATGAAAGGCGGGTCCTCTTGGGAGTTGTCCTTTGCCCATTCTCTTCTTTGCTCAGGCTGGTGTTTCTTTGCTATCCTCCAGCTGGCAAACACCTGTTCCTCCTTCAGAACTCCACTGAGATGTCACCTTTTCCACAAAGCCATTCTTGGCAAGGCTAACTACCATTCTCACACCCCAACACCGTTCATAATCCATGCCACAGCACCTCATCTATGATCGCGCCTCATCTACGATCACACCTCTGTCCACCAGTCCTGACTCAAGCTTGCCTGCTTCCCTTTGAGGTACCCCAAGTCACATGTCCCTCGTCTCTTCCTAGCCACAGGGCAGAAATAACAGAACAGCTTCCCTGAGCTTAATAAGTGCTTGGATACAAGTCTCCTTCAAACATCACACATTCATGACAGCGTTTGCCAGATGCTGGCTTGAAGGAAGGGTGTAGTTCAGAATGAAAGCAGTCACCTTCACAGACAGATGCTCTGAGTAGTAACTCAGAATGACAACTGAATGCTATAGATGGAATCTTCATTCCTTTATGAAAGTTAATGCATTAAAAAATATTTACAGGACAGCCAAGTTCAATAGAAGCAGGGACAGTCAGAAGGTCCACACAGAGCCAGTATTTTCTCACAAAAGACTTAATGCTGTCAAGTGCAGGCAGACAACTTGGGTGGACTTCTAGGATTCTTCCTCACATTGTCTGGTAGCCATATGTCTTGGACTTTCTGGGGACAGGCCCCAGTTCATGTAATTTAATTCCGTTTCAGAAAGGTGATTTGATCCATGTTTAATTAAAATCATTTGATTTTTATAGCCTCAGGATTTTTCATGTATATAATTGCTAAAATGAAAATCTTTTGTCAGGTTATGCGCTCTCAGTTTTGAAAAAGTGGTTTCTGTAAGGAGAAAGGCCTCTTAAAACTGAAGATTTTAGTGTTGAGAAATACCTCTCTTAGTTTTAGG